ATTTTCACTTTTTTGTTTTGATATGACTTTTTTTGCTTTCCGTATTTTAACTTTCAAGATTTAGAATTCTGTTTCAAGAAAATAGTACAGTCAAAAGTCGTTAATCCGGACTCGTCGAGACTTCGGCGATTCCGGATTATAGATCATCAGTTTAAATCTGGTAAGATGGCATGCAGAAATTATAAAATTAAAAATATGAAACCGTAATTTATGAAATAAAGAACAATTATGTTCTAATGGGTATCCAAATTTACAAACAAAAAAAAAAAAAAAAAAAAAAAAAAAAAGCTTAATATTTATTTGTTTACTTTATTAAACATTTCTTTCAATGTAAGTTGTTTAAGTTGCTTTGTTTTATGTGATAATACTTTCTCTTTAATTCTATACACAGACATAATTTCTTGTTCAATTACAAAGTTCCGTTGTTCAAGTCCTATAATTGCTGTGTCGAGAATACCGACTAATTTGTCAATCGAAATTTTTTCTTTTCAATAACCTCTGTGTCACTTTCTTCACTATCGGAAGCGAATTATAATGACAAGGAATTTGATTTAAATCATATCAAAGACGGAGTGCATTGAGATGAAATTTTTCACTATCGGAAGCGAATTATAATGACGAGGAATTTGATTTAAATCATATCAAAGACAGAGTGCATCGAGATGAAATACTACATTTAGTACTCTCAGTGTCTACTAATGATTTTACCATGAAATTACCAGTCATTATCATTTTGTTCAATTTTGATTCAAAATTGACATTTAAAGTGGCTACTTCTGTTTTCGAATTTTTTTAGAACATTCTGATGCTTTATGACCAAAACCTTCACTTTTAAAACATTTAATTTCCTTATCTTTATGAATGCAGTTTTTAGAAATATGATTTTTCACACAACAATTAAAACAAATTTTATTGTTGCGGCTTTCAATATCACCATCATATTATCATCATTCTTCAATTTACTTTTAGTCATATTTATGTTTTTTGAGTTGGTTTTATTGTTAAAATCATGTTTCGTTTTCGTCCGATCAAAAGCACCTGTACTTTTTGCAAAATTGCCTTTCATTGCTTCGTACACTTTGAGTTTTACTTTAAATTCAATAAAGTTTTTACATCTGTACAGTATAGTTTTGTTTTCGTGCCTATTATATATTCCATTTATAACATAATGTATTAAGGCAGTGTCATCTATTTTCCCAAAATTACATAATTATTTCATTTTTAAGAAATATTCTTGAGCTGATTCAGTATTTTTCATTTTCCTTTGAATTAATAGCTCATGTAAGTTAGCATAATTTATTTCAAAAGAAAATTCATCACTTAAGGCTTTTCTTAACTTTGGCCATGAATTGAGTTTTTAAGGCTTTTCTTAACTTTGGCCATGAATTGAGTTTCGGTTCTGCTCGAACAAATAATGCTGCATTCCCACCAAGCGATCGTTTGGCGAAGATAAATTTTTGTAAATCCGACAAATTAAATAGTGTAGAAGTATTCTCAAAATGATCTACCCATTGAACAACATTTTCATGCAAGTCTGCATTAAACTTTGTAATAGTACTTTCAATATCAGAATAATGAATGTTAACACTCTGAATTATAGAATTTCCAGTAGTTACATTTTTACAAGCATAATCACACTGTATCCAAGAATCAAGATTAATTTTCTTATCAAAAATATTGCGCTGCATTGAAAAATCATTTTCACTTCTTTTATTTATTAATACTTCTGTTTCCGATTCATCGGAACTAGATGTTTCAGCGCCATTTACATTTTCAGCTAGAGTTTCAATATCACATGATAAAATTAAATTCTTTTCGCTATTTCTGTTTTATTGCTTTAAAATGAGATACTTAGAATATTAGAGATTGTAACCAGCTCATTAAATGAAAAGTTTTCTTCGACATTTTTTGATTTCTTTTGGAATTCGTCACTATGAAGCTAAGTCAAAACCAGAAAAGTTTCTAATTCTTTTTCTGTAGATCTGTCACCGTCCTATATTGAAAATAAATTTGTGTAAAGTTCTAATTTTATCTGCTTTACAATTCTTCAATGCGACATTAATTTGTTTTATTTCACTTAGAATCATTGTCAAATATGAAAACAAAATCTACTTTCTATCTTCAAAGTTTTTTCAATATGTAATCTTACGTAGAATTTCAGTAATTGCTTGAAACGTTCTATAATCCCAACTTCTGATATAGTATGTGGTAATACCATCTTGAAAAAGACATCTAAGAAACTACTTGAAAGGACAGTACATTAATTACATTTAAAGTATTTACATTTTTAACAAATATGTTAGTTATAAACTGAATTAACTTCAATACATTTTCATACATTTTTATTTACGTCTTATCCTGGTGGTTCTTTTACTGCATCTTGAGTCAAACTCATCTAATTGCCAACTCACAAAACGAAAAATAAAACATTAAAAGAATTATACTATTCGCCATCTGGTATTCAACATTGGCACTACATATATATATAGCATCAAAAACAAGCAAAAAGCTTAAAAACCCGATAATAACGCTATCTTTCAATCCATGCTGGATGATGCCAAAAAAATTTACAAAACGAAAGCAATCAAGCATATTGAAAAAAAAAAAAAAAAAAAAAAAAAAAAAAAAGAAAGAAAGAAAGAAAAAAAGAAAATTTGATCCAAAAACATAAAAGTAAAAAATAATAAAAAGGAAAGTATACTCTCAAAATCTGTAGTATTAGAATAACAAAAATTTAAAAACCAAAAAAAGTGTATTTGACTTCTTAAGTAGGGAAGTAATGAATTTAGATAATTTACAATTATGAATTTAATTAATAAATATTATTCAAATTTTGTATATTTATATTCTTTTAATTATTTTACACATGGGGAAAACTGCTGTAATATTTAAGTGTGGTGTAACAAAAATTAACAATTTGTAAAAGCAAAAAATTATTGGTTTACCTAGATTATAAAACATAAAAATTAATTGCCATATATTGTATATAGAGTCAAAAGTCTTTAATCCAGACGTCCATAATCAAGAATGATCTATAATCCGGACCTCAAAGCTACAAACTTTCTGCACATGAGTAAATGCATAATACCTTTACGCATGCTCATAATACGTTTACGCATGCGCGTTTAATGTACAGTCAAAAGTCTTTAATCCGGACTCGTCGGGACTTCGGTGATTCCGGATTATCGATTTTTCCGGATTATAGATCATCAGTTTAAATCTGGTAAGATGGCATGCAGAAATTATAAAATTAAAAATATGAAACCGTAATTTATGAAATAAAGAGCAATTCTGATCTAAAGGGTATCAAAATTTACAAAAAAAAAAAAAAAAAAGCTTAATATTTATTTATTTACTTTATTAAACATTTCTTTCAACGTGTGCATGCGTAAAGCATACATTACGCATAGTCGAAATTAGAAAATTGCAACCAGAAAACTATTTGATTTGTATTCGTGATGTTTATAATGACGAGGAATTTGATTTAAATCATATCAAAGACGGAGTACATCCAGATGAAATACTACATTATAAGCCGAATAAAATAAAAACATCTGCCCTGAAGATAAGGATAGTGCTGACAGATCAACTTCCAGTTCATTGCGTGCCACAACGTCCCGCCCTTCCCTGTGCGGACCAGCGTGAAATTCATAAACAGATTTCGGAATGGTTAGAGAAACAAAGGAGCCTTTATCCATTTTTGGCAGCAATTCCACTTTTTGTTTGATGGACATCGAAACATGCTTTCCCTTTGTAGATCCAGCATCGGAAATTCTATTTGGCATAATCGAAAGTTCCAACTTACTTTTATAAAATTGCTCTAACAGTCTACAAAAAATAATAAGCTTTTTCCAATTCGAAGATTAAGGAACAACGCAATCTGGAACATTAACTGAAATAGATAATTAGATAATTTTAGCTTAGGTTGTACCGTACGTTATACATTAAACGCACATGCGTAAATAAATGTATTATGCGCATGTGTAAAGGTATTACGCGCATGCGTACACGCATAATGTATTGACGCATGCGCAGAAAGTTTGTAGCTTTGAGGTCCGAATTATCGATCATTCCGGATTATGGGTGTCCGGATTAACGACTTTTGACTGTATAACGGACGGTATAAGCTAAGCTAAAATTATCTAATTATCTATTTCAGTTAATGTTGCAGATTGCGTTGTTCCTGAATCTTCTAATTAGATCTGGCTTATTATTTTTTGCAGAGTGTTAGAGCAATTTTATAAAAATAAGCTTGAACTTTCGATTATGTCAAAAAGAATTTCCGATTCTGGAGCTGCCAAGGGATCTACAAAGCGAAAGCATGTTTCGATGTCCATCAAACAAAAAGTGGAATTGCTGGAAAAAATGGATAAATGCATATCCTTTGTTTCTCTAACCATTCCAAAATCTGTTTATCAATTTCACGCTGCTCTGTGTGTGTGTGGGGGGGGGATGTCGCAGCGTGCAATGAACTGGAAGTTGATCTGTCAGCACTATCCTCATCTTCAGGGCAGATGTTTTTATTTTATTCGGCTTTTAATTCCTTAGTAAATGTAGTATTTCATCTCGATGTACTCCGATACGATTTAAATCAATTTCCTCGTCAGTATAAATATCATGAATACACATCAAATAGTTTTCTGGTTGCAATTTTCTAATTTCGATTATGCGTAATGTAATTTTTACGCATGCGCGCAATGAAAGAAATGTTTAATAAAGTAAACAAATAAATATTAATTTTTTTTTGTAAATTTTGATACCCTTTAGATCATAATTGCTCTTTATTTCATAAATTACAGTTTCATATTTTTTAAATTGTATAATTTCTGCATGCCATCTTACCAGATTTAAATTGATGATCTATAACCCGGAAAACCAATAATCCGGAATCGCCAAAGTCCCGACGAGTCCGGATTAAAGACTTTTGACTGTATATGTATTTCTTATGTAATGTGTAAATTCTTAACTGTTATAATACTAATACAACATTATTATTTCAGAGGATTTCGGCATACTCTGAAAAAGAGCTTTGGTTTTGAAACACGGCTGGAATGAAAATGAAAAATTGAATTGCTCAAAATTTATTTAAAATCGTAAGTACTTTATAATTTGCATGTACTGGCTAAACTATTTTGATTATATTAAGTGCTTTATTTATTCCAGTTTTTAAACAATATTCTGTAAAACAATTCTTGAATTGAAACATAGCCGAGTTGAAGAGTATGTATCGGCATTAGCTCATATTGACTGACTTTTATGGATTTATCGTAATGTTTACGAAAACAGTTATAATTTTACAGTTGTCCCATTTCAGGCTTTTCTTCCAATTGAGGCTTTTTTGAAAACCGTGGCATTTCAGCCTCTCTTAATGGGGTGGGTGAAAGCGATTTCCATTTCAGCCATTTTCATTCAGGGTCAAAATGCAAAATCCTAAAAGCACGATAGGAGATAATGTGACGGTAATGTTTGCTCTTTAAACTTTAGATGCTACTAAAATAAAACAGTGATATTCGGGATTATACCGAATATAGGAAAAAAATATGTTTCTAAAATTTGAGTACTGCTATTTTCTTGAAACTGACTTCTAAATCTTGATAATTTAAATATTGAAAATAAAAAATCACATTGAAACAGACAAGTGAAAACTTTTAAGGATTTGGATTGCATTAATTCTATATTATAAATACACTTACTTCCAAAAGTTAAGCACGGAGAGGAAAATGCTAATTTCCGAAAGCCAATCAGAATTGAAGAGGATGCAATTCGCTGCAGAGGTAGATGGAAGTATGCAAATATGTTAGGTAACAGCCAATCACACTTTCATGTCAAGAAATATGCAAAAAAGGCAGTCTTATAAGAAGCCAGCTCTATGAAGGGTTACAGAAGTTGATTGTAAGTGCTAATAGAAGGTGGTTAAAACTTTCGTACAATTTGTTTTCAGTACATACGTGTTTCTATGACTTCCAGAAGACGAATGGAAGATTCTGAGCACTGGCGTGCTGTGGGGTGCATTGAAGCAGGACAGTCAATTACAGATGTTGCTCTTTTCTTTGGTGATCATCATTCTGTAATTTCACATTTATGGAAACGGTTCCAAACCACACAGACAGTTGTCCGAAGGCCCATAGCCTGTCGCCCAAGGGTTACAATCCCCAGGGAAGATCAATATATTGCTATTGTAGCCAAGCGAAATCGCAGAGCGACCTCAACACGTGTGACATCTATGGTTACGGTGTCCATTGGCTAGGTGATATCTGCAGCTACTGTACGCCGAAGATTACATATGAGTGGTCTCTACGCCTGGGTACCTCGAGTTTCTGTTCCTCTTTCTGTCTAATGAAGAGGGGGCATGATTACAGTAGTGCCGGGAACATGTCAATTGGAATGTGTCTGACTGGGGCAATGTCATGTTAACTGATAGTTAAAATTTGCTCTGGAGCCAGATGATAAGTTTATAAGGATATAGCGTGAACAATGAACACGCAATCAGTCGCAAAATATCACCGAACATCACACATTCCGAGGCGGAAGCATTATGGTGTGGGCAGGGATTTCATTAGGATACCGCACTAACCTGCACATCTTTAAATTGGGTTCTTTGATGGCTGTTCGGTATCGAGATGAAGTCCTAGAACCCATTATGAGATTGTACACTGCAGCAGTTGTCCCTACTTTTGTTTTAATGTACTATAACGCACGTCCCCATAAAGCTGACATCATCGACGACTACCTGGAGAGTGAAGGGATTGTGCGCAATGCGTGGCCAGCATATTCACCCAACCTTAATCCCATTGAAAATCTTTGGGATGCTCTCAGCCGTGCTGTATCTTCACGTTTCCCACCTCCAGCCACTCTTATTGAGCAGGAAACTGCTCTACAAGAAGATGCTTGATTCTGCGGTGGTTGACCACCTAATTGAAAGCATGGTCACAAGGTCTAAACTTTGTATACTGATGAGGGGGGATAACATACCCTATTAATGTCCTTTTGTTTTCATTTTATGCTGTTTATTTTCACTTTATACATAATTCCGTTTAAGTCTCCAGTATGTCATTATTTGATAACTTACAAAACTTTAATATTGTTTTCATTTCTGTATATAATTATTGATTTAAGAACCCTGAAAATCATAAATGGTAGTATTGTCGCAGTTTTTAGTAGAACACATTCATTATTTTATAGACTTTTAAAAATGCAAGTTTCATCATAGAAAAGAACGATCATTTTCTCCCTCCCATTCTGCATGACCTTTTTGGTGTAACGGTTAGCGTACTCGGCACATATTCAAGAGGTCTAGGTTCGAGTCCTGGTGAAGCATTGCTCATTTTTCACGTCTGCTGCTTCAAAATAATCTAATGAATCTACCGTGGCGCCTGAACTAAAAGGCGGTGGATGATGATTCTTCACCACCTGTGTTTGCCGACAGTGTCCCCTAATCCCCAGTCACCCTTTAAAAGGGAGAGTATATAACATATTTTCTCCCTCCTTTCCGCATGCCTTCATAGTGTAACGGTAGCACACTCAGCTCATTTTCGAGAGTTCCAGGTTCGAGTCACTGTACACATAAAGTACAGTTCCAGGTTCGAGTCACTGTACACTAAAGGTCACTGTACACATTTCACGTCTCCTGCTTGACCTTATACATGGGAATGGATTATTTATTCCTATCTGCATAACAGTTTTCAAATAAAGAATGTGTCTTCCTTTGTGGCTGAACGAAATGTTCTCTATGCAACTTAATATCTCCACCAACTAAAATGAAAAATGAAAAATTGAAAGGGCTGAAATGGTATCATTTTGTTCTGTTCTCATCCAGAATACCTGCGGAAGGGGGGGGGAAGCCTGAAGCGGCACGATATTTGTTGCCATTTTCAGAAAGCCTGAATCGACAAAGCCTGAAATGGGATATCAAAAATTTTATAATTTTAAGCATAAAATTAATTTTTTCCAAATTCTCATTTTTTAAAAATTTAATTAATTATTTATTTTAAGGCTATAAAAATTTTTCCAGTTGCCAATTTGTTGGCAAATCTGTATATCTATCTCTATATATCCTATAAAGAGGATTGTCTTTTAAGACATTCCGGTTACCGCTCTATCAAGTTACCTTTTTCGGAATACGTCAAACACCACTTACTGTGATTATGTTTGCTCTCAACTGTTTTGATAGTATTAAATGACAAAAGAAAAAAGTGCCTTTCAAAACAGCAACGGAATTTAACTCGTATATAAACATAGCTAGAAATGTATAAATAGGCATTTTCTCCAGCACTTTAATTAGGAAAGGGCAAAAATGTTTTATGAACTGTTCATAATGTCTTTAATTCAAGTAGCTCATTTATGAACTGTTCATAATCGTTCTGGAAATTATTGGTTCGTATGCCTGATCTCTTATGTACTAGAAGAGCATATCTCATTCACTGAAAGGGAACATGAAAATATAAAATTTAAAAATAGCCCCCCTCCCTGCAAAAAAAAAAAAAAAAAAAAAAAAAAAGAACAACCTTAGTGTGACATAGATGTTGTCAGATAAATGTTTTCTTTTAAGGATCCGGGGGGAAAAAAATTCTGCACAAACTTTTCTTTGCTTCTGAAGAATAGGTTCCTGTTTTTAATCATGTTCAAAATTGGTAGAGTTATTCAAAATCTAAGTTAAACTCAGATTGCTTTTTCGGCTAGTTTTAAATCGTTGCTTAAAATCGAAAACTACTTGTTAGGAGGCATAATTCCTTATTTGGCAACATTTATCATTCATTTAGAATTCGTTTTAGTCTATTTTGAGCTTATTTGGCGATTTTATTTCAGCTAAAAAATTTATTCGATAATATTTTGATAGTTTAAAAGAGCTGTGAATCACAAAAAGTTACCTATTTTCCATGCTTTCGTATAGAAACGGGCGCGACTTCAAATTGGAAACGGTCTCCAAATGATAACATTAAGCGGCTCCTAGTGTTTGAATTTTATTGCTTGTCGTTAAGTTCGGCGATTTATCAACATTTAGGCAACTTATTAAGATTACAAGACAGAAATTTTTTACTTTTTTTTAAACAAATGTAATAACGATATCTCAACATTATTAAAATGATGATAGTATGAAAAATTTGGTTTTTAGCAAAATATCTAAAATAATGGATTTTTATTTATGTTTAAAATTGTTTTCATATTATCATTTGGTGACTTTTGAATAGCTTGATCCTGAAATTTGAATAGGATAATAAATGTTAAAAAGCACCTTTATTGAATTTTTTACCAGTAGAAACAAAAACCTGTTGTAAATGTGTTTATTTTATTTTCTTTTTTCTTTCTTCTTCCCTCCCTATATTTAGTGTTTTTTTCCCCTATCGAATTGTTTCAAAATAGTCAGCTGTGTCTCAGTTTTCTCTTGTCAAATTAATTTTACACATTTTTCTGATTCCCACCTCCCAAATAGTCTGATTTTTATTCTTAGGAAATTTGAGGGTATGCTATCTTCATAGTCCAGTAATAAATATTAGAAATTAAAATTAATATTTGAGAACTTAATAACTTTTTGAAAATGAACACCGTCGTAGATAAAGACCTCGCATTCCCGACTAAAATATTTGGTAATCATATAGTATGCGTAGTACCGCTTTTAGTTAATTAATTATTTCCTAGATGGCACCACTAAAAGGCTTGTTTTTAAATTCAAACTCATAATAAAATGGCAGGTAAAACATGAATAAAATAACAACCAGTTTTAGTGCTGCCGTGTAACCATATATTACCAACTATAAGCGCAATTGATGCATGATTAACAGATGTTCATTAGAATTCTATCAGTTACTATGCAACCTGTGAATTTAAAAAAAAAAAAAAAAAAAAAAAAAAAAAACTTATAAAATTATTACGTTTGTTAATTAGTAAGAGATGGCAACACAGTGATGCAGGGAAGATAAAAATTTGACAGGCAGTGGGAACACATTTCTTTTACATTGTTGATTAAATTTGAAATATAGACTATATATTCGAAATATACTTGACGTTTTTTCGAATGGCAGTATATTGCTTTTAAATCACTGAGTTTGTCAATCAAAATTTCATTAAGCTGGCAAGAGACTTAAGGTAAATAATA